AAGAACCTAGACGTGGCAATAAAATGATAACAAAACCCAAAAACCTCTGAAGTGCACAATCATTCCAAATCATAATGACATTCCTCTGAATTTATTCTAAAACTTGTTTATATTTCAGTGGATCACAAGAAGGCAAAAAAAAAAAAAATGCTAACTAAGGAAACAAAGCTGAATTCTGCTCAGAAATGTCATGGTATAAGTATCCACCATGTGCTAGGAAGAGAGAAGCTGAGGGGAAATACCACCCATGATTTAGGTTTCCAAAGACCCATCCTGACAGCTAATTGTTGTAATAAAGCTAGCTCCTCACACCACGACTTCACTGCTTCCTTCCTCCTCGGGAGACTGACTCTGTTCAAGGCTGAGATCATTGGCGTCCAATGAAATAAACTTTCATTTTAAGCGCTTGAGGAAAAAAAAAAACACAAAAACCAGAAGTGAAGATATGTCAATAGAACAGACTCTGGAGAGAGCAGGTTAACTTTCCTCTGAGTTACCATCTTGCCCAAAAGGGGGCGGATGTTTTTAACACATACACATTCTGAGCTCACATTCATCTTTTCACTCTGACCTTAAATTTTTCTTATGCTAAGCAGTCAAGACCCAAGGACACCAGAGACTCTGGGAATGCACTCCCCTCCAGCACTAGTGATTGTGTTATTCTTCATGTTTGGTGAGTAAAGGGGCACATAAAATTTTTAGTCTTTTCTTCCATTATGTTGCTCTAATTTTTTCAGAGACTTATTTATTTTTTCATACAGAACTGGGGTACAGACCAGAGGAGCAGGAGCTGTGAAAGGCTTCCCCAGAGAAAGAGTGGGGAGCAGAACATGCAGACTGACAAAGTACACTGCTGAGGGGAGCAGTGGGTGGGTCAGAAGAAGTTACCTACATGCCATGCATGTAGGTAACTTCTGAGGCCAGGGATCGAACTCACACTGAAGTGGCTGTCGCTAGCTTGCAGTGCTGAGTCCTAACCTGAGTCCTAACCAGAGAGGGCCCAGTTGCTCTAATTTTTAACAACAAATTCTGCTAAGAGATGGAACCCAAATCATATCCTGAATAACCAAAACTGTTGTTTTTCTCTTTCAGGAGGAAGCAACGGAGACTCAGTGAACCAGACTGAAGGCCAAATGACCTGCTCTGAAGGGAACTCTGACTGTGAAGTGCCTTTACTCAGCCTCAGGGTACCCAGCTATGTTCTGTCTGGTATGTCCAGTATCCCGGACAGAGTCTGCAAATCCTTCTGAAAGCTGTAGCGGACAAGGACAAGGCAAGAAGCAAAGGTTTTGAAGCCACCTACCAGAAAGACTCTAATTCCTTCCACTTGAAGAAAGCCTCAGCGCAAGAGTCAGACTCAGCTGTGTACTACTGTGCCCTGAGTGACACAGTGACAGAAACTGCAGGGGGAGCTGAGTGCAAACTGAGCAGCAGAAGGGGCCTGGCTGCCGAGTGTTTTTGTTTCTACTCTGTTCAGGACCAGGAGTTGGCCCACTACTGTGGTCACTCAGGGCTCTGTCCAGCACGCCCATTGGTGGGAAGAGCATCCAGACCAACCCTGGAAGCATAATAGGAGAACAGGAAGTAAAAGTGCCTCTAGGAGATGTTTGAATGGTGTGAGTGAAAGTGGCATGTCACCATTGTTTCTGAATCACAGCTGAAATTTGTGATTTTTGAAAATGTAAAACCTCAAGATGAATGAAATGGTCTTTGTGCTCATCTTAATATAAAATTCTAACTCCCTGACCGTGTCCCATTGGCACACCTGTAACAGATGACTTTACAGGTGTTTCACATCTACCTGATGAACTGAGGCAAGCAGGGGTGATTCCTAGCTTCAGCCCCCAAACAATGTAATCTTTTCTTAAATAAAAATTATTTGTCATTGATTTACAAAACTACTTAGACTTTGCGATTATGACTTCACACCCTGATGTGTGTCTATGTCTTACCATACTGATAGGGGCTAGGAAGGCGGAGATTGGGTAAGACACTATGCAAGGTATAGTAGAAACCTGCCTGTCTGTTCTGAGCTCATCTCTAGTCCAAGGACACACCTGGAGGAGTGCAGGGAGCCCATGACCTTGGAAGCCCAGACTCAGCATGCCGGGGTGTGCTTAGGCCCAGTGGCCAGGAGGGCGATTAGGAGCTCTGGGTGCTGGAGTCACCAGCACCTGGCAGCGGTGAAGGCCCACTACTGCTGAACTCTCTTTGTTCAACTCACTATAACAGTCCAGCTGAAAATGAAATGTTAGGATGGTTTCTTCAGGGTGTTAACATTCCCCCCACCAACCCCATCGTCCAGATTGCTGGCTGTCTGATTAAATAGCACCTTAAGGACTTTATTGGCATTTGGTATGGGCATCTGGCATTTGGTGGTCCTGTTTTTAGGTTACAGTCTCTACCACTAGAATCTCAGTGCCACTCCCACTGCCAGACTGACCACCATCCTCCTCCTCTCCCATTTCCTTTCCCTTTAGTAACCGCTGTCTTTTTTCAAGAGTCTAAGGTTATTTTTTTTTTTTTGGAAACTTTTATTCTTTTTTTTAGAAGATTTATTTATTTATGCATACAGAATTGGAGAACAGGCCAGAGGTGCAGGGGTGGTGAGAGGATTCACCAGAGACAGAGTGGGGAGCAGAACAGGTAGATTGATTAAGTACACTGCTGAGGGGAGCAGTAGGCGGGTCAGAGAGGTCTGCCGTGCCATGTGGGTCACCTCCCTGGCTGGGGATCGAACTGGTGCTGAAGTGGCTGCGGCCAGATTTGCAATCCTGAACCTTAACCCATTGTGCCACCACCGAGGGCCGAGAACAGTTGATTCTTAAAGGAAGAAATATAAGATAGGAGGGAGGAGAAAGGCTGACATTGACCACTCATAGGGAGAAGACAGAATATTTCTTAGAGTGTTTTGGGGTGTGTATGTGAGGAAGTTACATGTTGGGCATAGCTTGGTGTTCTTTATGCACAGTATACAAAATTCCTATATCCTCTGCAATGAGAATAGTGCTCATCATTGTACAATCTCTTTGAATTTTTGTTAATAAATGAGTAGGAAATCCATTACTGCTATGTAAAAAGATCATTTTTTTCCTGCTGAAAAAATATTTTCAACAAAGAATTATTTATGTCAAGATCATAATCTTATGCCACATCATAATGTAAGCCACAGTACAAAGATCAGATAGAAGTTGTCCTCTTAGAGCTTGTAGTTCATAGACGGCTTCATGTTACCATCACATGCATAACATTTAATTCTCTCAAAATTGTTGTATACGCACACTCCCATTGTGCATAAACGGATGCCGAGCACAAAGTGTTTAAGTCACTTCCTCATGGCCACCTACATAGTTAGCAGAGCCAAAGCTCAAGTACACGTTTTCATGTCTTCAGTGTTGACCTAGAGTGTGTATAAGGGTGTTTATCACCACTAGTAGTAAGGCACAGGCTGGACAGAAATTAAAGAACATTTGTAGAACTGACTCTCAGATGGTCTTGTTGGCTTTTCTCCTTATTTTCATAGCATAACTCTTAGAGTAACTATAAATGTGTGTGGTAGATTCTGGCCTGTTCTCTGATGAGCAGGTTGGAGAACATTAGTCCCTTTCTTGTTGCAGAAAAAGATACAGGATAGAGAATCTAGAAGCAGTGCTAGGTGGTACACTGGGTAAAGAAAGTGCAGAAAGGAGCTAAGAGTCTTCTAGGTGTTTCTGGCCTCATATTTGTTGTGGAAATCATCTTTGAATAAAAATATGGTAGAGGACAATGCATGAGTGTCGAATGTGTGCGTGCACCTCACACACACACACACACACACACACACACAGCATCTTTTCAGCCAAAGAGCTTCAAAATCCCTCTGTGGAAGGAGAACAATAGGTAACTCCGGTCAAGGCTTAGTGATACAAGGTCATCATTGGGATCATGGGAGATCAGTAAAAATCCAGGCAGAAAATATTTCACTGTCAACTCATTCCCAAGTCTCCAATAAATCCACTTTCATTCTAGGAAATCCCCATTTCTACATAGGTGGCTTCTGTGTGGCAACTGGCTCAGGGGAAGGTTTCCAAGGCTGAGAAGTCATGGTGGGGAGGGGAGGAGGACAAGAAGGCAAAACCTTTGGAGAAGGTACAGGAATGTGGACACGTGCCCTTGGCTGTTGTACCCAAGCTGGCTCCTCTGCATCTTGAGCGGGGCGTCTGCAGAGAGCTATCACTTCATTCTGTTCCATCAAACTTGTACTGTAGGTTTGTCACATGCCACTTCTAAAGGACGCTTGAGTTAATAAACCGTCATAGCTTTGGGAAGAAAGAAACACACTGTGTGGAAATTTTGATGTATCTCAGAAAATGTCAGTGATGTGTTCACTACGTCTTCATGGGGCCTGGGGGTGTACAGGTCCCCATCTGGCCTCTGGAGGGCGATGTTGCACCAGGAGGTTCTGTGGATGGCCATCTTCTCAGCTCCTCCTCTGGCAGCAGGTCGAGTTCTTTGCAGACAGAGACAGGTGATGAGAATCAGACATCTGAAATCTCCACCCTCATCTCAGCATCTCAGCAGCCTCTGTATTATTATCCAAGCTAGGCACTTGTTAAGCCTAACTTTTCCCACATTCCCAATTGCCAAGGGAGTGCAACCATTTTCCTGGCGACTCAGGGGAGGACTTCCAGAAGAATCCACAGCTTTCCACTGCTCAGCCATGTTCCTGTTCCTCATCTCAGTACTGGAGATATTTACCCTGAGTGAGTAAAACTGTAGGTTTTGGTTGGAACTATTTCTTATAGCAAAATATGTGCTGCTTTCACTGATGAAACATTGATTTTGTAGGAGATGCCAGGGCCCAGACAGTGACCCAGCTGGACCCCCATGTTTTGGTCTCTGAAGGAAAATCACTGGAGCTGAGGTGCAACTATTCGTATAGTGGAATTCCTACTCGCTTCTGGTACGTCCAGTACCCCAACCAAGGCCTCCAGCTTCTCCTCCAGTCCTTTTCACCTGATCCCCTGGTTCAAGGCAGTAAAGATTTTGAAGCTGAATTTAATAAGACCAACTCTTCCTTCAACCTGAAAAAGTCCTCAGCCCACTGGGGAGACTCAGCCCAGTACTTCTGTGCTGTGACACAGTGACTGAGGCTGTGGGAGGAGCAGAGCACAAACCACACTTTGTGGTTTTTTTGAGTCGCAATCTCTTCAGCTGGTACTTTAAAGTCTCTTGCTTTTTGATTGCTAACAAAGCAAGAACTGAGCAGACCCTTAGAATTCCAGGTCTGACAAACTACTTCTGAAACATTTCCTTCATTGTAGAAACGGTATAATTGAGAGCAAACATTAGCTAGCACCTAGCCAGGGAATGGGTAGCTCAGTTCTATGACTGTAATGAACTGAATTCTGTCAATAGCAAGAATAATAAATAGAAGTAGAGTCTCCCCCAGTGTCTGACCCACTTTGATTTCAGTTTCGTAATCCTCTGAGCAGAGAACCCAGTCATAAATGCCTTGCTTTAGGTGTATGGGACTGAGAACTAATAAATAAGTGGGCTTTTTTTTTTTTTTAAAAAATGTTATTTTATTCTGAGAAAATATGGCAAAAATATGGCAAAGAATCTTCTTCTTCTTCTTCTTCTTCTTTTTTTTGTTTCCTATTTTCTAGTTGGATTGTTTGGGTTTTTACCATTCTCCCCTGCCCCATCCCTTAAGTCCTTTGACTCTTTCTTCCACCTTTTACCTTCACTTCAGAAACCTCACTTTGTTTACTAGTGTCTGTCAGCTTTTGCATTTCACTTTGTCCAGTCATCTGCATGTGAGTGTCCGACATTTGCCTTTGTGATTCTGACTTGCTTCCATTTTGTTGGAAATGGCAACATTTTCTAATATGTGCTATCTCACACATGTGAAATGATGTCTCATTTGGTTTTGACATATATTTTCCTTATTAAAAACAATGATGAGTCCTCTCTGGTGGTGCAGCGGGTTAAAGCACAGCACTATGATGCTAAAGCCACTTTACACGAGTTTGATTCCCAGCCAGGGTGGTGACCCACATGGCACAGAAGACCTCTCCTGACCTGACCACTGATCCCCTCAGCAGTGTATTTCAGTATGTCTGCCTGTTCTGCTCCCCACTCTGTCTCTGGTGAATCCTCTCACTGCCCCTGCACCTCTGTACCTCCGTTCTGTATGCATAAATAAATAAATTTTTAAACAAACAAACAAACAAAGATGAACATCTGTCCAAGCAACTATTAGCAATTTGAATAGTCTCTTTTTGAATGTCTGTTCAGATCTGCTACCCATTTACTAACTGACTTTTTTTTTTTTTTTTAAAGATTTATTTATTTATACTTACAGAACTGGGGTACAGGCCAGAGGTGTGGTGGGTGAGAGGATTCACCAGAGACAGAGTGGGGAGCAGAACAGGCAGATCTACTGAAATACACTGCGGAGGGGAGCAGCAGGCAGGTCAGGAGAGGTCTGCTCTGCCGTGTGGGTCATCACCCTGGATGGGAATTGAACTCATGCTGTAGTGGCTTTGGAGAGCTTCCTAATGCGGTGCTTTAGCCAGTTGCTCCACCTGACTTGTTTGGTTTTTAATATTAAATCTAATAATTAAATATATACTATTGGGTAAATATTTTCTCTCATTCAGTAGGATGTCTTTTTTTCTATTTATATTTTCTCTCACTGTGTAAACTTTTTAATTTGAAAGAATAGCAATTATTCTTCTTAAATTTTATTTCTCTTGCTGTATGAGTCAAGTTTCCAAAAACATCTTTATCAATGATGTTATGAAACATATTACCAGTGTTTTCTTCTATATATTTCCTTGTTCCTGGTCTTATAATTAAGTCTTTAATTCACTTAGAATTTATTGTTATACATGGACTCAACTTCATTTTTTCACATGTAGCTCTATAGTTTTTTTCATCACCATTTGTTAAAGAAATACCTTTCCCAACTGTATGTTCTTTGTCATAAATTAAATACTAATACACACTTGGATTTATTTCCAGCCTTTTTAATTCTGTTCCATTGATTCATGTATCTACTTTTACTCTAATACCACATTGTTTTTACTACTTTTGCTTTATAGTGTAGCTTAAAACCAGGTAATGTGATGCCTCTGTTTCTCTCCCTTTTTTGCAAGATTGCTATTTGAGGTCCATTATGCTTTCTGTTTATTTTGGTGTTATTTATATCTTCCCCTCTGGAAGACTCAATTCTGCAGTCAAATTGTTATTGTTTTGGTTTTATCTGACATTTTGTTTGTTTATTGATATAGTATATATGAGTGACACTACTTGGTGTCATGACCACTTGGTATACTTGGTATTTCATGTTATTGATTTTTGTATGTTGATTTGTAAACTGGCACTTTGCCATATTTATATTTTCTAATGGCTTTTTTTTTTTTTAAGATTTATTTATTTGTGCATACAGAACTGGGGGACCAGAGGCTCAGGGGTGGTGAGAGGCTTCACCAGAGACAGAATGGGAAGCAGAGCAGTGTGATCGATGAAGTACACTGCTGAGGGGGGCAGCGGGCGGGTCAGGAGAGGTCTGCCGCGCCATGTGGTCACCTCCGGGGCACGCGGGAATCGAACTCATGGGGAAGTGGCTTTAGCTTCTCAGTGCTGTGCTTTAACCCGCTGCGCCACCAGGGAGCGCCCCAATAGCTTTTTGATGGTGGGTTTTTTTTTTTTTTTTTTTCATTTAGGCAATATATTATATTGCTTGCAAATAATGGTAGTTTCACTTTTTTTCCAAACTGGATTTTAAAAATTTCTTCTTGTTGTCTGATTGATCTAGCTAAAACGTCTAATGCTAAATTAAAAAGAAGTTGTGACAGTGGACATTCTTGTATTGTTTCTGATCTCAAAGCCAAAACTTTATACTTTTCACCATTAAGTATTATGTTGGCTGTGGGATTGTGATATATGATCTCTATTAGGTTAAGATAGGTTCCTTCTATTTCCATCTTGCTTAGAGTTTTTAATCATATGGTGATGAATCTTATCAAATGTTTCTTTTCATATATTGATATATTCATATGGTTTTAATCTTGCTTTTGTTGATAGAATGTGTAACATTGATTGATTTACATATATTAAGCCATCTTTGTATTCTTGGAATAAGTCCCATTTCATTGTGGTGTGTAATTTTTGTACTGTACTGTTGAATTTTATTTGCTAGTGTTATTCCTCCATCATTTGGTGCATATATATAATTATAACTATAACTATATATATTGTTTTATTAGGCTTTTTATTCTTTTTATTCATGAATATAATTTATTCAGAATATAATGTCCATCTCTACCTCTTATCACCTTTTAAAATTGTATCTGATATAAGTATAGCTGTTCCTCATACTTTTGATTGCCTTTGGCTGGTAGGATTGTCTTTCAATTATCTGTGCATGTTATTGTTGGCAACATGAGTTTCCTGTAAACAAGAGAAGGTTGATGTTTGGTTTTGAAACCAAACATTCTATACCCTTTAATTGGTGTTTGTTTACAAGGTTTTCTTCTTTCTCTTTGTGCTTTTAATATTCTCTTCTTGTCATTGGCTGTCAGTTGTTTTCTTACAATGTGTACTGGAGTATGTTGTCTGGTTTATTTTGTTTCATAAAAACAATCAGAAAAGTAACCTTCCTGGTGGTGCTGTGGGTTGGAGCGCTGCACTGTGAAACTAAGCCAAGCTGTGGCCGCTTCAGTGCGAGTTCCATCCCCGCCCAGGAGTTGACCAACATGGCACAACAGACCTCACCTGTCTCGCCTGCTGCTCCCCTCAGAAGTGTACTTTGTCGATTTGCCTGCTCTGCTCCCCACTGTTTCTGGTGAATCCTCTCACTGCCCCTGCATCTCTGGCCTGTACCCCATTTCTGTATGCATAAATAAAATATTTTTAAAAAAGTACTCACGTGGCACAAGATGAGCATTGTCAAAATATTTCAAGATTTTAACTTCCATGAAATGTTACTTTGAAAGTAGAAATTGGTTCATCTTCAGTCCCTATTCATTATAGGCAGTTATTTTGTTTTCTGACCATCTCTCTGCATTTCCTTCATCAGGGCACATGGGGATGAGGTGGTGTGACTGCTGAGCTAATTCATCTGAAATGGTTAGTTCTAGTCCACTAGGGGGCACTCTAGGCTTTATTAAAAAGGAAGACTTTAGGTTAGAAGAATCTGAGGACTGATGGTATCAAATAGTTGAACAATTTTAAGTGAAGATTAGAGAACATGTGAGCCTAAAAAATATATATAGAAAAGAGGGGAGGGTGCCTGTAAACAATACATCTCAGGTATTCAGTTTTGCCAGCTTATATAAACTTGAAAAGACTGGAGCACATATTCTATATGTATGGTAAGGATGATCCCCTGAGCAGAGATACAAGACTATTACTGGACACATGAGCATGGAAGAATACAAGACACCACTCTATTCACTGTTTTAATTTTTTAAGACCAAAGTTCTTGAAATTCATGGACCTAGAATTTATTTTGACATCCCAGATATCCCTTCATTTATCTCCCTTGAGGCATCAATTAGTAAGAATAATGAGGACAATAGAAGAATGAACAAAAAAGAGAGACACAAAGAAAAGAAGCGGAGAGATAGTATAATACTTGGCTTGACCACCAATGTGTTTCCTGATCAGAATTAGCTGTGCGGGTCAGGACAGGAGAAGAGGAGAGTGGACATGGTACACATATCTTACTTTTCACCAATACTTGTTGGAATCATTTTCTATGCAGTGAGCACCTACATGCCCTGTATTTCTGGAATGCTCCTGATTTCACAAAATATATTTTCTTCCTCAATACACAATGCAACATATCAGAGTATCTCCATTAGAATTTTCTTATAACTGGACCCTTAAACCTAAGACAAAATAGCAACTTGGGAAATTGGGTCACTCTCCTGACTCTGCTCTAAGGCTTGATTATTTTTCAAAGCAAATGTTAACCCAATTGAGACAATGAATTGTTTTCAGAAATATGAGTCTCTCTTCCTCACATACTAACCCTCACACTTTTCTTACATAAAGTGTTTTAATAGATATGTTCTTATAACATCATATACTGTCTATAGAACCCTCACCCACTCTGCACTGTTTGCTTCCACAGTTTGCTGAGATTACCTTGCAGTCTCAGTGGGACGCTGTGGGTGGTGTTTCCTGTTCAGGTGATGGCAGAGCTCAGATGGAATTGGTCCTCATGATTCTGGTAGAACATGCTGACTGCACCCAGGCAAAATTGACACCATCCAGAGCAAGGGTGACGGCACCCAAGCTACAGGGCAAGGATCATGAGACACTGGGGTGCTCTGCTGGGGCTTCTGTGGGTCCACACTGTCTGTGAGTTGGGGCCGTCCCAGATGGGGGCTGGAGAGAGCCACAGCTGACAGTGGGGGAGGGGAGGGACGCTGACGCGGGGCTCCTAGCGGTCCTCCACACTCATGGGTGTTTCTCCGGCTTTTTTACAAACTCAGTGTGACGGCCCATTGGGATTATATGTATCTGTTTTTCTCTTTGTCCTGAAAGGTGCGCAGGTGGAGCAGAGTCCTCCATCGCTGAGTCTCCAGGAGGGAAAAAACTTCACTCTGAAGTGCAACACCTCTATGAGCGTGCAAGGTGTGCAGTGGTTCCAACAGAAGCCCGGGGGCAGCCTGGTCACCCTGTTTTACACAGCTTCAGAGACTCCGAAGCATAAGGGAAGGCGAAGCACCATATTGCATTTTAATGATAAGAACAGCAGCCTGCTCATCGTGGACTCCCAGCTGGAGGATTCAGGCACCTACTTTTGTGCTATGCAGGCACAGTGCTCCAGGGTGAGCTGCAGCCTGTACCCAAACTGCAGCTGGGCCTCAGCCCCTCCGCTTCCTGGAGGTGGGGGCATGCCTGTGTCTCTGTAGGCTGATAGATAAATTATTACAGAATAAAGCTGTTTATTTGAACTTTGCTGTAAGCTTTTTGGAGAGATTATAGTTCTCCAGAGTTTAGAATCTCTACTTTTACGAATAGCTGCAATATTGGAAAGCAGATATCTGTAGGTTTCGAAATAAAAAAGATATATAATAGGTTAAGTATAAGACAACACTTTAGGTGAACCTCAACTACTTTAACAAATCAATTATTAACCAGCCCTGGCTTGGAATTTTGAACATCCAAAATGTTGGAAGGAGAGAGGCAGAAAGTAGAACACAATCAGATTGTTTGAGAAGGTAGTTTTTGCTTTGCATATTAGTAAGTTCATCCACCTCCTTCAGGTGCTACATGTTGCTGTATTTTTTTTCTTAGAAGAAATACATATGTTATATAAGAAATACATGTTATAGATATAAGAACTAAATCTCCAGAAAGGAACATCCTGTTTTCCCATGGGATAAGATTCTCAAATCTTTCATTAGGCAAATTTTTCTATTCTTATAGTGATGCTCTTGTTTAGCACTTACCCTTGCAAATTATGGTATCTGAGGTTAGGGGCCATCAGACCTAGTAGAGTGTAGGTGTGTGGGGATACCAATGGCCACGAGCAGAGTCACTTTAAAGGAAGAGAGCCAAAGCCAGCAGGCATTTGAAATATTGAGTGTTCTTTCCTCACTCTGATCTTCGCTTACAAGTATTTTTTGAAAGAGTTTTTCTCCATAGCAGACAAATGAGGGTAGTTGATTAGATTGAATAGGCAGACATAGTTTTAGTGAAAGAGTGACTCCTTTCACATAGTGGCTGCCATGTTAAGTTCTCATGAGTGAGCACAAGCGTCCAATTTTTGCTTATCTTTACCATCACTTTTTAAAATTTTTTTTTGGTTTTTATTTTTCTTTTGCGAAGTAGGCATCCCAATGGTTTGAAGGTGGTGTCTCATCAGAGTTTGATTTGCATTTCCCTGACATTTAGCTGTTATTCAGATTTCAGAGGATGACACGGGCCTGATTGATAAAGTCAGGGCTTGGGAGGAGTCCAGGAAACATACAGCCTGTTTCAGACTCTGTTCACCAGGGGGCGCAGCTTCCCAACACACACATTTCCTGTGTGAAATGCAGGCCTGGGTTGATCATTTCTCTGTGACTTCCACTGTGGTTCCAGCTCAGTCTTTGATCTTTTGTCTCCCAGTCTATGGATAATTCACAAATCATGCAAATGTCCAGAGCACAAGAACAAGAAGCATTCCCCATACCCAATTCTTCATTAATGAAATTGCCACCAGAACCAGAACAGAGTTCCTCACTCATCGTCAAAGTAATTTGAAGAGATAACTGCACAGACAATGAGGTGGTCTCTTGCTCATTCTTGCAAATTCTTCCCCCATAGCTTGCTTCAGGCCAATATGGCACATACTGATATGCCTTGTCATACTTTTAGAGAGTTAACATGTAGCAGACAAGGTGGCATCAACCTAGTATCTTTCTGGAAGACTATTGTAGGAGTGATGCTAGGCAGGGTGAGTCTCCAGGTTTTGGTTCTTAATTAAGAAAGAACAGAATCTTGGATGTAAGCTGAACATTGGAAAAAGTATCATTTTTCCATGCTTCTTTCTTTGGTCAATGAGATGATAAACAAGGTGAAGGGGAGGAGCGAGAAAAATGAGTGAGGAGTGAACTCTTCACTAAATCATGAACAATGGTTTTTGCTTATTCTTTACCACATACATAGATCAGATGGCTTTCTAACAACAAGCACTCAAGTGAGAGAGTTTTCAGTTACCTGACAGTATTTTTTGCCTCTGTGTTTTTGGCAATGGTTATCCATCTTGACAGGTGTGACATTTCCCTGGTTAAATGTTATTGAGCTTAATTCACATACTCAGTTTTTTTGTGTCTTTTTGGATAATTGTCTATTAAGCTCCTTCAACTTTATTTTTGTAAATGATAAATTAGCTTTTCTTTGCTTTGTTTGTATTGTAGTAATTCCTTACTGACATAAGCTATCAACTTCTGTCGACAGACAAATTCCAGATGGAGGGGAAATGCTCTGAAAAATCAGAATTTCCATGCTAACTTATGTTATGACCTCCCTCTTTTGTAATGTCAAAATATTCTAAGCAACCATCAGCTTGCAACCGGACTGCCTAAGCCTCATAAGGTGCTGCCTGGCTCAGGTGAGCAAGTGCTGCCCAAGACAGGAAATTCCTCTTGAAAGGAAAATAATATTATAACTGGCTGGTTAATAAAAGCAATTATAACAAAATCAATATTGTAAGACAAGGCAGTACTAGAATATGTTAAAAAAACAATTAAAGTTCTTTTACTGCCCAGATGAAAACCCAAATCTTATCACTCTACTCTCATACTTAAGCTTTTATTGCTCAGTCTTTAAATGAGGAATCTTACTATCTCCCTTAGTGATTTATCTACCAGGAAACTCCTCCCACCCTAGTCTGTGACTTGACTTTACCCTCTTTCACAACTCAACTTGGCTGAAGACCTTACTTTATCCTCTTTCCCATCTCCAGCCCAGCCTCCCGCCCAGCCTCCACCCTAGACCTCCACTTTACTTTACCCTCTAAGATGTTTCAATGAGAATGAAGATCAATAAATAGCATTTAAGGTTTAAAGGGACTTTATTTTAGCCAATCATCACTGTGGTAAATATAACAAAGATAGCCTTAAATTTTATGATTTTATGTACCTATCTTTAATAGATTGATTTTAAGAATAATGAATGTTCTATCTCAGCTAAAGGTCAATATGACTCTAAACTGTTCTTAGAAAACAAGATGATTGTAATCTCTCAGCCCAGTCCATCTGCTAATGTCATCCCACTGCTTGCTCCTAATGTTATAGGCCGGCAAATCTGTTATAGGGCAGGGGGAGAGGGACAAAACTGGCCGGGACCCATGGAAAAGGGTCAGAAATGGCCAGACAAATCTGGGAGGAAAAGAGCAAAATCAAAATCAGTATAAACACTGCCATAGTCACCTCCCTACAGGTCTCTCACCCACATCTGCCTTAACCAGTCCAGGGTCGAAACAAGCACAGTTTCTTCATCACATGCTTGCTGCTCCATGTGGCTTCCTCAGGTCTCCTTGTTCTCCATCTGGCTTCCTTCTCTTCTCTGCTGATTCCTTCTCTTCTCTCCTTTTTCTCTGCTCAGCTCCACCCTCCTTCTGGGTGGGGCAGGGAACCTGGAACTTCCCCTTTTCCTAGGGACCACCCTGTTACACTAATGTATAAAATAAACTTCTAAGAGCAGAACAGGAAGACTTGCACCCAACTCTGATTCCCCTGTCTTCCTCACGCCACTCCCCTCTCCCCTGCTTTAGGAATCTCCACTTGCCCGATGCTGCTCCCACCTTAAGACCCTGCTGTTCTGCCCCCCAACAACCTGTGATTAGAATGGCTCCCAACACCTTACAAGTTTTTTTTTTTTTTTAATATTTACTCCTTTGCCATATGTGTTTGCAATTTGTTCTATCGGTTGACTTGCTGATTGCTTCCTTAGTTATGCAGAGGTTTTTTAGACTGATGTTGCCCCATCATGTTAATTTGTTTCTGTTTCCTATGTGCACAAAAATTTTCTTTTCAGAAAACAACTCTTAGATTATTGATTTTTCCATTGTTTGAATATTTTCTGCTCTAGTTTTTTAAAAATCCTTCCTTTCTAGATTTTAGGCTTACTTTTGATGATGAGAATTTCCTACCTTCTTTTACTGTGTTTTTACAATAAATAGTTCATGGAAGAATCCAAAATTAAAAGAATGGGTGTTGGGTGGTGTGGGTCCGCTAATCCTAAGCGGCCTGTTGGGCCAGCATCTTGCTACCTGCAGTTCTGCATTCCTGTGCAAGGTCAGAAATGCCCTTCAGAAACTGGTCAATCAGTCATAGTGTAACAGGGTGATCCCTAGGAAAAGGGGAAGTTCCAGGTTCCCTGCCCCACCCAGAAGGAGGGTGGAGCTGAGCAGAGAAAAAGGAGAGAAGAGAAGGAATGAGCAGAGAAGA